AATTGTTATATTAATTATATAAGTTGTCATTAGATATTTTAGGGCTAATTAATATAAGAATAGTTTAGAGATGGCATCTTGAGAAAGATTTTTATTTTCAACACTGGTTTTTGACAATACTTAAGTTTACATTACTCTGAGCCTTAGGAACTGGTAAAAGGTACATTTTAGACCTGACAATCATAATTCTTAAATGCTAGTTTAGTATATTTTTTTACTCAAAAGTTGTTGACTGTTTTCGTCTTTGTTTTAAATTGTTTAAAAGAACAGCATTTATGATTTCTTAAAATGTTATATCACGAAGTAGTGCATGCATTTCTTTATAAACAAATACAACAGAAACTGTGATAGGTAATTACATTGCCTTGGAAAATCATATGTAGATTCAATAACCGAGAGAGTTTTAAACCCATTAAATTCTTTGTTTAGACAAATAAATCACATGTTCTTATTCAACAGTCCTGTCAGGAAGGAATATTTCTTTATTATATATAAATTCATAGGCTTATCTTCAGTCATGTTAATGAAAATAATATTTTTCTAGACTAAATGTACTTACCTTTGTTCTTTAATTTAAAGCATAGCTCATTTCTTAGCATGTCAAACTGTAGAGCTGAGATGCCATAGTTCATGTCCCATTATGCCAAAAACAAAAAATATTGTGCTCTGGACTCTGGGCTGTAGGTGCATTTTCCTACATTTTATCATAAAATAATACCCAATCAGAATTATCAGAAAGGAATCATTCTTTGGATTGAGTAAATTGTAAACATAGTACTTACACACTGAGGTTGTGAACACTTGTGAATCAGGTGTACTAAAACTTAACAGACCTAATACTGAAACTATTGATGTAAATAGTCAAAGATGTCCTAATCTTAACTGCTTTGTGTCCTATATCAAGGCTGATGATACAACTATGGGACCAGAATGTTACAAATTTGCTGATGCTTTTATGTAGAGCATAGAAATCATAATCTTTAACAACTACAATTCAACTACTAAAGGTGCTGTCTATTGATATCATATTTTGTAAGTTAACAGAAAAACAAGGATTTATTTTCTTTCTCAGAAAATTAACCTCTATCAATATTATCATATTACCTTTTGATCTCTTATACACTTTATCACTGTTTTGGATGTTGTTGTAACTAAAGTAGCCTCCTTTTTTTCTGTATGTATACAGGCTTTTGTTAGAAATCAACAGAAAGATAAACCAAACACAATTTTACTTCAAAAACATCTTCAAACAGTAGCATTCAGGTACCAGTCTCTAACACGTCTGAATTTTTAGATGCTTGTAATGAGAAAAAAGATTAGCAAGACGTTTATATAGTGGGGTAATACTCTCTGATTATGTATTCTGATAAAGTTATTTGTATTGGGGAACATAGAAAGATTAGGACCTGCTAGGTGCTAATGTTCAGGACATTGTAGAGCACATTATTAGTTTAGTTACTGGTACAAAGAAACATTGTCTTTTTGTATTTCATGTTGAAACTTGTAAACAAATGAGCTTCTTATAAAGTATGAAGAAGTCCTTCAAAAGTACAGGGATAGAAGTACTCCTTTGAGCTACGTGTTCCAATGAATTACTTAGCAGGATCCAAGGTTTAAGAAAGATTATCAATAATATGGGCTGGTTATACCCGTGGGATAGTTTTAACTTAAAGGTGATTTATATGCTAGAGATAGGCTCTACTTAAATAGATTAGGTAGAATAATGTTTAATAAAGCTCTAATGATATTCAATAAAGACAATTTTAAGCTAAACTTGTATAGTGGTGACTGAGCTTTGGAAATTAGAAGTAAATCGATAGGAGAAGTAGATATAGAAAAGAAGCTTAAAGGTTTAATGATAAGTCAGTCATATTTAAAGATAAGCAGTAAATACAAGATCAAGATTGGTTTTATTATTCTAACAGGCATAATAGGGACAGAATGGTTGAATTAGGGCATACAGTGATATAATCAGAAATGGTTAGATTTGTGGAAAACATTGATAATAGGAATTATTTTGAAGTTCTACATTGTGAGTTATTTAATAGTGAGAGGTTTTTTAGAGGTGAGGGGTAGGGTGGCTTTATATATAAGGGATGAACTTCAGCCTGTTGGGATTGAGGACATAAAAAGCTATCAAAAAAGTTGAATGTATATGGGTTATAATCAAGAGTTTCAAGAATATAAAGTGTTTTATTGACAGTTGTTATGGGCTGTCTGATCAGACAGATAATGTCAATGAAAAATTGTACAATGATATAAGGGTTGCTACTAACCAGAAATACTGATTCAGTAGTTATGGGAGACAATTTTAAACACATTGATTGAGATTGTATAGAATGAAACAGTGAGAAAGAGAAATTTCTTTAAATTGATTCAGGGTGTTTCCAGAGAGTGAGTGAGGTGGGGTTGCCACTGTAGATTTTATTGTTAACCACTAATGAGTATATGACTGCAGGAGTTGTAGTGGAGGAACATCTGGGTAAAAATTATCATTGCATAATGAAGTCTGGTACTTGGCTACATGTTGAAAGAGAAATATAAGTTTAGTTTCTAATTTTCAGAAAGCCAGTTTTGAGGCCATGAGACAAGATTCATCAAATTTGAATTGGAATAATGTGTTAAAATGGGATATGTGAAATTGTTTGAAATAAATTACTTTTAGTTAGATATACATATTCCTAAAAAAGAAATAAAGAAAATTGGAGAAGATCAAACCTAATGAGATTACTATAGATATTAAAGAAAAAATCAAGGATAAATGTCATAAATTTATAGAATTTAAATTGACAGATATGTTGGAAGATTTACAAAGCTAGGGATTTGGTTAAAAATAAAGAAATTAGGAAATCCAAATAGACTTATAGTAAACAGTTGGTTAATGGTGTTAGCAAACAGAATGTTTTTTTAATTACGTTAAAGGTAAGGAAAATTTTAAAATGAGGACTGGACCTTTAAAAGATACTAATGACAAGGTTTTTGTTAAAGACTGAGATAGCTGAGCTTTTAGATATTTATTTCTCTTCTGTTATCATGAGTGAGGATATTAACAGTCTGTGGAAAATACTGGAATTCACCTGAATCATGTGATATTAATTTTGTTAAGTAGAACATTGGAGAGATTAAAAACAGATAAGGTATTGGGGCCAAACAAGCTTTTCCATCAGGGTTTCAAAGGAAGTCAAAAATCATATATTCAAGATGCCCTTTTTCATTGTTGATAGGTCAATAGATAGTGAGCAGGTGCCTGAAGATTGGAGAGTTGCTCATATAACTTCTATTTTTAAAGGTGTCATATTGGTTGCCCTGAAAATTATGTATTTTAGGAGATAATACCTGACCACAGAGTTAGAAATTAATCATTTTCAATTTTAAGTTGTGTGTATGTGTATAAATATGTATATATATATGTTAATGTATAAAAAATATATTTAATTGACAATATCTTTTCACTGTAACTTTGAAGGTATCATTTAATATAATTTGGGGTTGAGTGCAGCCCAGTGGTTAGCATGTTGGACTGTGGCTCTTTGGGGACATGGGTGTTTTATAAGAGTGATGGTCAAGTCCAGCTATTTGGTCAGATATTAGTAGTCTAAGGATTGGTGGTGGGTGATGTTGACTAACTGCTTTCTCTCTTTAAAATTAGGGATGACTAGAGTAGATAATCTTCATCTAGCTTTGCATCAAGTTCAAGAAAACAAATATATTTAATACATTTGCAGTATGAATTTATGTAAAAAATTCCATATCAAATTTTTTGATATGTTGACTAGAGTTTGTGAAGTCATATGAAAATATTGAAAGTGAGTCATGAAGCGATATACATACCAGATGAACTTGTTTGGTTTGAAGGAAGAAATTTTTCTATTTTGAGAGACATTGTTGTTTTAAATAGAAAATTCTGATTTTCACTATTTTATTATTACTTTTTGAACTTTCATTATAAAATAAAAATGTTTATTTTTTACTTAACTTTTACTGTAAAATATTAGTGTACACAGTAATATTACTTCTAGTTAGTACCACAATTTTAAAACCCATATGGTGAAATTAGGACAATGTTCTTATACAAGAAAATACAGTGTTAGGTAAGAATTTTTTTTTCTTGAATTTGGTAATACTCGTAGGAGAGAAAGGCCATATATTTTTTTAGTATAACACATGGTAGTTGTAGAGGATTTTTTCATTACAGTAGGTTAACTTTTGTTGCACATTATTTATTACCCTCAGTACATTTGCATACTGATACAACTTGTAGGAGTGTTTCTATTGCAGGGCTAAGTAAGCTTATTCTAATCCAGATTATAAAATAATAGTTAAGATATGAGAAGCTTATGTAATTATATTGAAGTTGCATTTCTTTCTGTAGATAAATCCATGTTATGTTGTTCATAATTTTATCTTAACTGAATTAAATACTCCAGATTTTATAATCTGTTATGTTAAAATGTTTTAATTTAAGTCAGTATTAAAGTCATCTAACAGCACAGTTCCAGAGAATTTGGAATTTTTTTTTGTATAAGAAAGAATTGATAATTATGCATGAAGTATTGTGTGTCATATCACTTTTATAATTATCTAAAACACAAATAGTTCAGTAACCCTCGTTTTCATTGATCCTGCATGACTTCCTTTCTCCTCTGTTAGTACTTGGATTTGCAGTGTAGTTCTTTGGTTTGTGGTTTTTCCATTGCAGTTTTAGGTGTAGTTCCAGGCTGCATGTGTGTTGGCTGACATTTTGTAAATCCTGCTTGGTTCACAGTTAGCTGGGGGAGAGAGATAGGACTGGATAGTTTTGTATGAAGGAGAATGTAGTTATATTGTAAAACAAATACATTTTTAAGGCTTTAGGGAAATGGACAATGATTGTTGTTTTTTTATTGTTTAGTGTGCATACATAATATAGGTATAATATCTACAGTCTTTCCTTACAAAACATGACTTCTTTCATGCCTAATAATTTCTCTGCAGTATGGACGTTTTTCACTCTTTCACAGCTTCAGGTGGTCAGGGCCTTTAAAAGCACACTGGAAGACATGGAGGAAAAGCGTAGTGCTTTTAGCTTTCACATGTTGCGTAGTTCTGGTAATCATCCAGGACTCAGACCAGTCTCAGATATAAGCTACATTGATGAGGAGGTGAATACATCATCACTTAATGAACATCCTTATGAACAGAGTGATTGTAAAAAAAAAGTTAACACTAATCCCACGAAGAATAAGAAAGGAGATCAGCACAACCCTTCGAACGAGTGCAACTCAGCAGTAACTCTCACTCCTAGTGATAGTGATCCATATTCCCACTCAGAAACTGCTCCACTTATGGATCAAACAAGGCATTCACAATCCCCAGTAAATCAGCATGGAGCCCCATCCATTTCACCGACTACTACAAGTATAACACCCATCAACTCTTCCTCTTCTCCTTCCTCTAATGCCTCTTTTCCCTCCAGTTATAACCGACCAGACCTCAACATTAACAGCCCTATCTCACAGGGCTACCTTCTTTTGTCAGCTCCTAAGAAGGTTCATGAAACCAGTATTTAATTCTGGTGCCTTTCCAACTGCAAAGACAAAAAAATTAGCATATCAATGCTAGTGGGGCATATTTAATGTCAGACTTAAGATTTGCATGTCGTGTCTGTAACTAATTGTGACTGTGAAGATAAGTATTTCCAAAATATAGATGCAGAAACGTGTTCAGTGGAATGAGATGAAAGTATTATTAAAATAAATTTGAATGATAAAATACAGAATGCTATATTTTATATTCTTATATAAACATTCTCAGCTGCAAGTTGCAAAGGTGCTTGATATTTTATATAAATCAAATTACAAAATCAAGTATTGTTTTTTGTTTGATTTTCAATGAATGATTTTAAACATTTTTTGCCTTTGTTGGTATATTGCTAGAAAGCATGAGTTTTGCAGTTTTCAAAGTTTGTTCAGTTCAACAAAGTCTATCTGATTTGAGTATGATTTCCTAGAAAATTATAGAAGCAACTTTTAACTAAATCCATCACTTGGTTTATTAGCAGCCAGTGAACATGTGTACCATTTTTGAGTATTATGGTTATGAATGCTTTTGTTTTTGCATTTTGAGCATTTAATGTTGTTGACCAACACTGAAGAGATGAGAACCTAATTGATAAAGTATACGTTTATGACCATTAAATTTTCTGATACAAAAATAGAGGTGTAGATGTCAAGAATGATTCATTATTGTATCTGTAACATGTACGTTATCATTACCAGTTGTCGGACAAAATGTTAAGTTTTTCAGATTTTAAAAATTCTCAAATTTTAGTCTGGAGCATTAACAATCTTGTAAAAACATGAATGTGTATAGATATGTAGTAAACTACTGTTGGAGCTTTTGTTAGTGAGAAACAATTTCCTGCAGTTTTTAACTCTATGGTGTCAGTACCTGTAACACAAAAAAAAAAACCTAGAGAATACTTTATAAGATGTATGTCTGTGTGTGGTCTTTGTTAACATTGTCCTATAATTAGGAAATACAAAGTGACTTAAACATATCTTAACAATGTCTTTTTTGAAAATCATTTAAGATTAGTTCAAGCTCTTTATATGATAGAATGAAGATAATTCATACAAAGAAAAAGAATTGGTCTTAGCTGCTAAAACAGTATTTTAATTCCTTACGTGAATTGTTTCTAATAGTCATTGCTAAGTTTCACATGTCTGTCTTATTCAATAGATTGTCAGTTTTAGTAAAAACATTTTGTAGCACATTATGAATAACGTTATAAAGTCATTTATTAGTTCACTCCAATGAAATACAAGAATTGACATAGTCTGCAAATTAAATATTATTTGCCTGTGTATTCTATAGATGCAAAAACAGTTTTCTAGCCTTTATGTACAGAAAATTACATACCCCAGATTATTCTCAAAGCACTTCCCATAGGTTAATTTACAATTTCTCTGTCTGTCTTAACAATATAAAAAGAACAGTTATCTTTGATCCCTGGCTACTTCTTTGAAAGTGAATTTGAAATATAAGAAAGCATTTAATTCTAATTTTTTGGATACTTCTTTATTAGCATATTTTATGGACTCGAAAAACAACTATGTTTGGTGTTATTCAAATATACTAACAATAATTTGTGGAAGTACGTTTTCTGTTGCTTTACTAACATTAGAATTCAAATCAATGTGCTTGTGCTTTTTGGAAATGAATGCTAATTATTCTGAGTTATTAGTGCAGATTCCTTAGAGGTCGTTTAAGATCATGATTAAAGTGCAAAATATACATATCATTAATTATGTTATATCTGTTAACTTCTTAATAGAAGCAATTGAATGCCATAACAAATGATCTGACAAAACAAGATGGTTGTACACTACACACAGTTATTTTATTTGACTGCAGATTCTCAGAAAGAACCATTTGCTCAGATTATCTAAGTTTATTATATTAAGCTTTACAACGTGTTCAATAGTTAGATTTGTGACACCATCTTGATGTTAAGTATTACAGTGTGTTCTATAGTTAGATTTGTGACACCATCATGATGTTAAGTATCACAGTGTGTTCTATAGTTAGATTTGTGACACCATCATGATGTTAAGTATCACAGTGTGTTCTATAGTTAGATTTGTGACACCATCATGATGTTAAGTATCACAGTGTGTTGTATAGTTAGATTTGTGACACCATCATGATGTTAAGTATTACAATGTGTTAATAATTAAGTTTGTCACACAATCTTAGTGTTAAGTATGACGATGTGTTCAATAGTTAAGACTTATGACATTTAAATATTAAGTATTGCAATGTTTTAATAGTTAGATTTGTGACAATGTGTTAAATAAGGTAACTCATTAAAGTGTGTTAAGGATTTTATCTGTATGCTATATTAATTTGATCATATTTGTTTCTTTGTGTGTGTGTGTATATATGGCTGACCAAGAAGCAGGTCATTCATGTTATATTTGGAGTAGATTTTTGATTATCACAATGTTACCAGTAGAGGTATTGGCTGTGTAAGTAATTCCTTTTTGTATCTAGTGTTGGTATTAATTGTGATGGCCACAATTATGTACTTGTAGATGGATATAAAAGTGACTTTTTCTTTTCCTTCTGATTCCCATTTTTATCCAAAGTTGCAAATATTCATAATTACCTACTTGTGAATGAATCAAGATATTTGTCATTGTACTGTCACATTTTGAACTAATACTAGAAATAACCAAGATTAGCATATAACATACTTGTAAGTTAATAAACACACTTATCACTGTACAGTCTCATGTCTAACTGGTACTGGGAATAATTTTCACCACCTCATTCATCTTCTTGTAGATTAAGAAAGCTGTTTATAAGATGTTATGGAAATAATCATCATTACTACAATCACCTACTTATAGGTTGGTCAGGATATTTTTATGTTGTGATTCATTTTTCACCAGTGCTGGAAATATCCTCAAATACTGTATACATTTAAATCTAAGCTAGTAGAGACATTTCTTGTTGAATCAACTTATCTTGAAATATTGCTGGGAATAAGCATTGTTATCACATTTTGAAACTTGTAAATTATAAAGGTTGTTGTTGTAGTATTGATTGATCATTAACTAGTGCTAAGAATAAGCACAATCGTCACACACTCGTATACTTATTAAGTAAGTCATCTTTATTGTGATGAAGATAATTATGATTACTACAACCACATACTTGTAGGTTGGTTATGATTATGCAGAGGATAAAATATTTATGCTTACCACAATTTGAAACTTGTAGATGAATAAAGATTGCTGTTGTTGTAGTTAATCTTTAACAATGTTGGGAATAAGCATGATTACTACAGTCTTGTTCTTTTAGATTGATTAATATTTGTCGTTGTACTGATTCATCTTAAGCTGTGCTAAGAATATTTATAACTTCTTGTAGGTTGATGGGGGAATGGAATTATTATGACTACCACAATTTGAAACTTGTAGATTAATGAAGGTAGTTGTTGTAGCAACCATTTTTAGGTAGTTGTAGGAATACTGGTTACTACCATAGTCTTCTACTTCTACATTGATCAAGGTATTTGCTGTTGTACCATAGATTCTCAGAAAGGATCCTCTGCTCAGATTTATCTAAATTTATTATGTCAGCATTAGAAATGATCATGGCTTTCACTTCAAGATCTTTTTTAGATTAGTAAAGATAGTTGTTCTACTGATTCACTGTTAACTAACTGTAGACATAATCTTGAGAGTAACAGACATGTGTACATTTAGATTAATTATGGTATTTGTTGTCGTACTGACTTATATTTAGCTGTTAATGGGTTTGTACGGATTGAAAAGGGTTTTTGTTGCTATAATTAAATAGTTATTTGTAATATTGTATACTGAGTTATCCTAATTCATCATGTCTTAATTGCATATTCAACAATGTAGGTTATTTGTGTATGTAATAGATCATTGTAATTATATAATTAATTAATCACTCCCAAATTTGAGGGAGAAATAGAACGGATATGCATAGTAGATCACCAACTATAATAATTGTAGTATTTATTCAGTAATGGCTTACAAGAATCACTCATTTTACAATAAATTTTGATTAGTTTTAGGAACAGGTTTAAATGGATTAACTACAGTTTTTAAAACATAAAGGGCTTGTGGACAAAAATGTTGTCATATGACATTTCTGTACAACTAAGTATTTCAACATTTATATTCTTTTGTTATAAAGTACCTTAAAAATATATACTGTTATTAAAATTCAAAGTTTCTTTAAAATATTGTTCCACCGTAATCATGACTGTAGTTTGATAAATATATAGAATAATAACAGGTTGAAACCACGTTAAATAATAATAAAACCATGGAGCACTCTACATTGAGTCTTAGAACTGTTACATATGTGAACACAAGACTGGGTTGATTGTAAAACTTTTGCAAAAGAATGTATGCTGTAAAGCATGTGCCAACATGTGAATGTTTGTTAAAGGTGCTGTAATCTGAGTGCCTCTTATTTTGAAAAGCTAATGTTGTTTAAGCTACTCTGAATTGTGTGTTTGAGGTTATCATTTCAACTACAATAACACAATATATGCATGTTTTAATCTTACTTATACATGATGGAATAATAATATTCCTTTTAATTATGATTTCTTGTTTTACTTATGATTTTTGATTTTTTATGTATTATTATTTTGTGTTTCTGGTATTGTTATGTGGGTAGATTGGAAAGTCTTTGATTAATTTTAATAGATATTTCTTACAAATATATTTTAAAAAAGAATTTTTATTGGCTTTAATCTATTGGAGTTAAAGAAGAAGAAAAAATTATTTGTATATGTTAAAAACAAAGAAAGAACAGAAATTTTATCCGTATTTATTAGAGGAGAAAACTTTAAATTTTATGTATATTTGTTGGAAAAGAAAAATGGTGAATTTTTTATATGAGCAAAATTGGTGTGGAAAGGAAATCGTATTCCATGCTTAGTTAACACTAGTTAAGGAGTTTGTTTATTCAACTTACCTGCAAATCATTATGATGTAACAATTACATAATATTATTATGTAGAAAGGTATATGTACAAGATGCCATTAGAAATGTTTATTAAATCACAAAAAATTTGTAGATTTAAGTCTGATGTCAGTGTATATTTCTTTGTCTCCTTCCAAGCAGGCTTCTCAAAATAATCTAGACCATTATATATATATCCATTTTGAGATGTTTGTTGCAGACCTTTTTTTTTTTAATATACATGTAAGGTGTTATATAGTTTTCTGTTCCATATTGAGAACCTGGTTGTTTTTGGTGCTGCCTGTAAATAGCAAATTATTACAAAACAGATTTTCAGCTGGCGGTCTAATACTCCCTGTAATTTGTTTCTTTAAACATTTTACTGCTTACCTTATGTATTAAATACAATATTTTTTCAAAACATTCAATGTCAATGTTGAGAGGTTTTTTTTTAAAGCACAAACTGTGCTAAACAATTTAATGTTACTGTCTTCAGGGTAAAAACTCGTTTGAAAACCAGATCATGTTATTTGGGGGGGGGGGGCTTTTAAATGTATCATCTAAACCCTACATATATGATCAATTTATATAGTTAAAATTTCAGCATATTTTGATTTAAAGATAATGTGTTTTTATACCTTATGAAGAATATGCCAGTGTTTCCCAAGAAAGGAGGTCAGTGGGTTGTATTAGTTAGGAATTATTCAAAAGCACCTATTTTTACATGGAGTTTTCAAACCAGTAGAAAACTACTGTCAGGTCTGGTGGAACAAACCCATATATTACACAAGCCAAACGTTTCTTGCAACAAGAAAAAACTTGACCATTAAATGAGAACTAAACCCAGATTATCCTGATCTTTACTGATATATTTCTGAAAGTTATAGGACAATTGATCCCAGTGCAAGAATTCCACAGATCAAGCAGTAAGATTCTTTATCCTTCTAAGTTTTTAATTCAGGAATTTACTATAGCTTCTAATGAGATTAGATCTAGATTCTTTTTGGTTTATGTTATCACGTGACAGGACATTTGTAACACCAGAAATTCAAAACTTCATTTCAAATTCTGTATTATTTAGACATATAGACAAGAATGTTTTTCCAGAAATACAAGTCAACCAATGATTGTTTAAAAAAAATATTGATGTCATTAGTATTAAACTGGCAATTACACTAGGCATATATATACGGATTAAATTTTATGGAAGTGTTATCTTGACACTGTGTAACACAGTATTACACTAAACATATAAACTGAGTGATCACGATTGATCAGAACGTTATCTTCATTGTGTAGAAAACAGTACAATTCTAAACTCATGAAGTGATCGATAACACAGTTAAATCAGACAATGATTAAGAAGAACGTTTAGTTTCTGGACACTGATTATACTTTATTGGTCTAATCATATAAACTGTCAAAATATCGATTTAGAAAAACGTTGTGTAAGTTCTGTACGCATTTTAAACCCATAAAATACGTACACAACCTTTCCAATTTTATTGTTATGACACAGGTGATACTAAAGCTTTCAGAAATGATAATACGTACTTGCTAGGGTGTATTAAGTCATTGTTAAGCTATAAATAATGTATATAAAATATTAGAAAGCACTTTTTTTCACAAAAATGTTCTAGTGTGAATTGTATTTTTTGTAGACTTACACAAGAAACAATAAACAGTTGTATCGATTCTTGAGAGATGCTGCAGTTTGTAAAAATTAAGGTTTATATAACCGTAATGATCATTTGAATACTTTAAGTTTAAATCTGTAAAAGAACAATTTACAATTGTTTTCAACGTTTCACTCTCAACTTTTATTTAAGAAGGAAATATGCTGCATTATGTCAGGAACCTGCAGTCTGCTACATGTTAACCGAGTCTGTTGTGTACACAAGAGACTCGGTTAACATGTAGCAGACTGCAGGTTCCTGACATAATGCAGCATATTTCCTTCTTAAATAAAAGTTGAGAGTGAAACGTTGAAAACAATTGTAAATTGTTCTTTTACAGATTTAAACTTTATCACAAATAAAGAAATTCGAACTAAAAATAATCTACTACAACTTGTAGCGAAAGTTTAGGAATTGACACAATTTGTATATTAAAAAATATATTTCATCTTCGAGGTTTAATTTACTTTTAAAACTTGTATTTCGGGATAGCCAATTATCATTAAAAGCCGATTGAGAAACGGCAGTAAACGAGTGTTTAACGTAACCAATTTTAACACATTTCACTAACAATAATTTTTTTGCTTCTTTGTTATAAATAAATGTCACTCTTTACTGATTATGTAAATAGAAGTTCATTTAGAAAATACTGTTTTAACAGTATTTTTAATATATTTAATCAACAATATATATATTACTGTTATCATTATGTTAATAAATCAAATATTCACTTACGCCGTTAAACCAACCATTTATACTCAAATAGAACGTTAAGACACTTCTGATTTTTATGGCAATGAAAAAATCTTTTCGTTAAAATATATGTAATTTTAACTTCATTAAACAAATAATTCTACCTTAAATTGTATATATATATATATATATCAACATCCAAAACAATGAACCTTCAAAAAACATCATTGCTTCGAACATCTAAGTTTTATATCGATGTCCAATTTCTCTAAATGTTTTATAGATTGAAACATAAATAATATTTTTTTATTTGAGACATTGTTATTTTTAACATATAAGTTTGTTAATTGGATCTAAAATGCACGCTTTTTTATGTTATTAAAATTGTAAACTGATACACAAAATGTTAATCTCTTTATAAGAGAATCAGGTCACAACTCCTGTTAAAAATTCAATAAAAATGTTTCGGAACAATTTTATTTATGCTTAAAGACGTTACAAATGTCCATGAGAATTTAGACATTAAAAGTTAAATACCGTCAATTCTTTCACTCAGGGTAGTTATTTGGCTAAAATGTGATTAGTGAGTTTTATCAATACAAACATACTATTAACATTTGCGAGAGTGCTGTGTCAGTTGTTCTTCCTAGAATGCATTTATATTATCTACTAACTAAACTTAGCTATTTGTTTTTCTGTCAGATATTTATCCTGTATTATGTTTGCCTTTTTACACACTGTATATTCCTTACTAACCTAACTTCTCTACCACATTTTCTTGGCCTGCATTTTCTTTCTTTCTTTTTTTTGTTCAACAATCTCTAATAACTAAAACGTGTTCATCGTCCCTTCACGGCTTCAGTTTATATATGTGTTCTGTGGTAATGTCTTTATTAACTAAACTTTTCCCTAGCCTTCCCGGTGTGCATTTCCCCATACAGAGTTTTCTACAACACCTATTAACTACACATTTCTTCTTTTAGGTATTCACTTCCTGTTATGTCCTTTTTACTAGCTAAACTTCTTCGTTGTTGAGTACGTATGGTAAGGTAGTTGCGATTGGATATTAGCCGTTGTCACGGTTACTAGCCTTTAAGATCACCGAAGTCTAATTATTAATTAGTTACTGATGGGATAAAATACCACTATAAAAATAATTGATAGTATCTACCGGAATACAAACATACAACATAGACTCTCTCAAGACACGTACAACTCTTCAAGTTTCATAAGAACGTACACAAGTACTATGTAAGTTCACAAAAACTAAATTCACTCACCCTTTCTCAAAATAAGAAGATTGTTAATCCTAAGAAACATCTTAAAGGACAGTAATAATTAAACGAACAAAAAAAAATAAAAACAAAGGACTAGATTTTGTTCTAATGTACAACAAAATGCCATTGATATAAGTACAACCACAGAAGATATAAGTTACGTTTTACAGAAAAAGGTCAGCAATGGAAAACCGTGAATGTAAACCCCTCTCTAACAGAAAAACCTGTCCTCGGGAACGTATAGAAGAACAGCACCCTAACAGTTCTTCCGCCAGAGAAAGGTAATACACTACAATCCTCGACGAAAAAAAAAAAGGAGTATATCATTAAACTCTAGTTGAAAATACCCACTGAAATAATATCGGTCTAACCCAACGGCTCAATAAACATCAAAACGGACTTGGAACAGAAACATTTCAATAATTAACAATACACCATAGCACCACCCACACATTTATGGTTGACTACCTTCTTTGTTCCATAGAGTTTCTCTTCACTACACCCTAGCTAGGTAGTTTGTTCATATAATAACACCATAAAACGTTCTTTCACTTTGTTGGTATTATATAAGAATTCATTATAATCTTACAGGATGCAGCAGTAAGTTTCGATTTACACAAAATATTCACTAACGTACCAACCCATGGAACATCGCAGATACTCCGTCTGTAGCTTTCAAATATTTTGGTTTGTTGTTATGCCCAATGCGACACGACGGATTATCTATGCTGTGTCTGCTGTCGAAATCCGGTTTTTAACGTTATAATCCCCCAGACTTACCGCTGAGCCAGCGAGGAGAGTTTGAAAATGATAGAACTCTTAAAGAACGTATTCAGCTGAAAATCTCCATGAGAAATCACAACCTTTTTCCAACAAGAAGGCCTAGTGATGGGCCCATCTTTGTCATCAATACTCCGTAACTCTGCGTGGACGTTCCGAAAACAGCTTCTCTAAGACCCAAGATTTAACGAGGATATATTGACGACACGTTTGTAATATGGTGAAACGCAAAAGAGAATATTCCAGAATTCATAAACAAACGAACAGGGACAACCAGCGATACAATTCCCAACACATATAGAAATATAGATTACAAGTACCCGTTTCTAGACTCAATGGTCACCAAGACATAACTCATACATCACAGGAAATACACAAATGTGAGTAAATACCTCGACTTTAGGTCAGACCACCCAACGGTACAAATATGGTCGTAAGTCATAGACTGCCGAGTCTTGAAACATGTGTAAAATAGAATATGATAATAATAACAAAACATTACTACCACCTCTCCTTGAAAATGGATATCCTAAACACTTGGTAAAGAAGGAAAATTCATAGTTGGGGGTAACGAGTTATTTAAGTAACTTGTTACTATAATAATATTACTTTTATAAATAAAGAGGTGTTATAATACGTTGGATTTTTAATGTGGTAATATAGTTACTTTCTGCAAGAAAAGAAACGAGTTCGTC